CTTTTGTTTTACATGTGTGGAACAGATCATTTGCATCGGCTAATAAAATTAAATCTCTGAAACGCGTACAAAAGAGAGCTCCTCCTTCGGCAATACTCCCAACTCCCTCCCCCGGGGGAAGCAAGCACGGCAGCCGGGTGTGTTTCCTTCATGCTCCATGCTCGGTCTCTCCCTTGAACACAGGTGAGAGTGCAAACCTGCCTTCAGCATTAGGGATCCTGGGCAACACTTCGACTCAAATGTGTATGAAATCATAGCACTGCCAATCCTAACAACCAACAGCAGAGCCAGAGCCGGTGCAATGCCAATAGGCTGCAGCCTGCTCCTTGGGGTACAGGGGTCTGTGCCCTTGCTCTTGTCTAGCTTTCAGACCACTGCAGGGGATGGCAGGCAAGGGTGGGCTGCTCACCTCTTGGAAGGAGCCAGAACACTAACTGGCTTCATAGGGAAGAAGCCAAAGACGTCCCTTAAAGAATCCCAAGACTTTCAAGCCAGAAGGCATCCCAAAGAACATCCAATGCAACCTCTGGGCTTTATGGATGAGGGAGGCTCAGAGACATGTGTGACTTCCAAGGCCAAAGAACTTGTAAGCAGCGTAGAAGAACAAAGTTAACGAAAACAACAAGACTCCTCTGTATTTTGCTTCCCTTTCTCTGGCCTTATTGGGAAGGCCCACGTTAGTGTGGGAGAGTCTGATCACAAGCGGAACTCGGAAAGCAGAGAGCAAGTGCCCGGAGCTACCAAACGTGACTGATATGGAATCCTTTCTTGGACAATTCTGGAAGGTCTAAGTAATGTGTTTTCTGGGTGTTGGTGATTTTCTGTTTATACTGCTGTCCCAGTCCATTCATTTACCCACATTTGCTGCCCTGCTGCAGCCCTGCAGACCATGTTGCCCAGGCTCTCTTAACAGGTGACCGGGGGAGGCATGACAATGATTGGTGGCTGATCAGAGGGTAGGAGGCCAGAGGCGGAGTAAGACTTCCTTCCTCACTCCCTGCTTCGACTCCTCATCACTGAAGAGGCTAATCCCGCCATCACTTCTTTTCCACCAAACCCTGCCCAGGTGCCTGCTGTCTTGGGTCACGTCATTCCATTTTCCTCCCTTTTGCCCCTTAGTCCTCAGGGGCCAGCAGCTTCCCACTGTGGCTGATCTCTGGGTGCCTGCACATGTCTTGTTTGTTCACTTAACCCTGCCCATTCTTCTGTTTGTAGTGCCTTCTTTAAAGTTGCCATTGGAACCATCTCAATGAATTCTACTTCCTGTTGAGACCCTGACTGACACATTGAATTGCTTAGCTTCCTAACGGTCTTCCTACTTCTAGCTCAGTAGTTTTTAACATATTTCAGAATCCCATAGAGAATCTAATGAAAGGTATGGGCTCTCTCCCCAGGGGGGTTTGGGAAGATGGGGGGAGGGGGAGGCGGGAGGGGAAGAGAAAGCCACCTACACACATTTACACAAAAATTTGCATATAGTTGTGGAGTATTAACAGGCTTCTAAATGCAATCCACAAATCTTCTAGGGACCCCCTGAGCCTCCGGTTCATTCTCTCCACCTTTACTAACTTAATCTTCCTCAAACACCCATTTCTTCCGTTTGATCATATGCATCTTCTCCTCAAAAACCTCTAGTTGTGTCCGACAACTGCCATAAAGCATGAAGCTCAGAATCCTCAGTAAAGCATTTCAGACTGAATCTGACCCTGTTAGAAAAAGAGCTCAAGGGAAGGAATGTACTAGAAGAGAGCTGTTATGAAGGTGCTGGAATGGGTGAAAGGGCGGAGGGAATGGTAAGGCAGCCCAAAGGTGCACACCAGCAGGAAGCCATACCTGGGTGGGAGGGACAGAGGGAGAATCCGGGAGCCAGGCTTCTTGGAGGGCCACAATCATAGCGAGTGCTGCCAGGCAGGGGCTGGAGCCCAAAGCAGGAGGAGAGGGCGAGAATATCCTGGCTGCTTTCTCCACTGCTCTCCAAGCTTCCACAGACCACACTACCAAGGGGCCTGCTGACATGGAAGCCTGCAGGGGCTCCGTGTCTCGGGGTTCAGAGTGGGAGAAGATGGGTGATGGGCCTAAGATCAAACAGGCTCAGGTCCATGAAAGCCCCCCAGAATCTGGCCTCTCCTGCCATGGAGCCCTGGTGGAACCCGGGGTGTCCTAGGAAGGCTCCGTCTTCTAATAGCTACGGCACACCGACTGTGTGCCCGACACTGGTGCCGGGAGGAAAGCGGGGAGAAGCGGCCCGAGAGTTGCAAATACAAGTTCAAGATTGAGGCTGATGACTTGCTCAGGCAGAAAAGCAGCCAGGTGGTTCAACGCAGCAGGCTACCACAGAGCTGGGCAGGGGGCGGGGCAGCAGGAACTCAGGGGGGGACAGGGCATGGGTTTGTTACTGGGGTAGGCTCTGAGAAAAACCTCCAAGGACAAACTGAAGACTTTGAACACTGCCACTGAGAGGCTTGGGAGAAACCACACCCCTGGCCCTCGACTCCAAGTTTAAAGGGGCCAGATGCACTGAGAATGGCGGCCATTTGTTGGAATCTCCTGTGGAGCTTTAAAAAACATACAGGCTGTGGTACATCCAGACAGTGGAGTATTACTCAGCGCTAAAAAGAAATGAGTCACCAAGCCATGAAAAGACATGGAGGAAACTTAAATGCATATTATCTATTGAAGGAATCCAATCTGAAAAGTATATGACATTCTGGAAAATGATCCCATTCTGGAAAAGGCAAAACTATGGAGAAAATAAAATCAGTGGTTGTCAGGGGGTTGAAGGAAGGAGGGGTGAATAGGGAGGTCACAGGATTTTTAGGGCAGTCAGTGAAACTACTCTGCATGATACTAGAATGATAGACACATGTTTCTGTTAATTTATCCAAACTCACAGAATGCACAACACCAAGAGTGAAACCTTATGTAAACTATGGACCCCAGTGGATAATAATGAAGGTTCATCGGTTGGAACAAACGTACCATTCTGTTGAGGGATGTTGATAATTGGGGTATGCTGTGCAGGTGTGGGGACTGGGAAATGAGAAATCTTTCCCCCCTGTTCTTCTGCTCATCATTACTGTGAAACTAAAACAGCTCTGAAAAATAGTCTATTTAGCCCTGGCTGAGTAGCTCATTTAGTTAGACTTAGAGCATCATCCCAATACAACAAGATTGCAGGTTTGAGTCCCCATCAGGGCACATACAAGAATCAATCAATGAATACATAATTAAGTGGAACAACAAATGCCCCTCTCTCTCTCTCTCTCTCTCTCTCTCTCTCTCTCTCTCTCTCTCTCTCTCTCTCTCTCCTTCCTCCTTCCCCTCTCTAAATTAATAAATTTAAAAGAAACATCTATTTAAAAATAATAAAAATTAGAATAAAATAGGAAGAGGCCTGGGTCCCATCTAGGGAGGAGTGTGCCCAAGCCAGTTCTTAAATTTTCAGAGCCAGATGTTGAAGGCAGGATTATTTGAAATTAGATTATATAAGCTTACAATTAATTGTCTTATTAAAAATAAAAGTAATAACTACTCAACATGTGTCACTTTCTAATTATCTTACTGCTCTCCGTGCTCCCGAGGTTGCCTTCGGAGGAGAAACACGGGGTGCTGCTGTTCCAGGCTTCCCAGCCCCATGTTCAGGGCTGTCACACTAACGGCTTGCAGACTATTTACACCACAGAAATTAGCCAACGCTATAAGTCAGGGCTCGATTTATTGTGTTGAGTGTGCAGATCAGGGGTCGGCAAACTACAACACACAGGCCAGATCTGGCCTGCAGCCTGCTTTTGTATAACCCACAAGTTTTCCCATTTTTAAAGGGCTGTTAAAAAAATAAATAAATGAGGAAGAGGGGAAGGAAGAGACCATTTGTGGTCCACAAAGTATAAAATATTTACTCTCTGGCTCTTCACTAAAAAATATTGCCAACCCAACCCCTTATCTAGACTTAAGAAAATGATGGATAAGATGTTAATAATGTAAATTAAACTTAAAAGGGCATCGTGTCTGAAACCGTTATAATGTGAATGGCACGGAAAGTTTAGGGAAATGCTCTTACAGTGTTTGACACCTGCGACCCCACCGGCAAAGCAGTCTCTCGCCTCACTGATGAGCAAGCAAAGTTCCAGCATCGGTCATCAAAAATAGCGCCCAGCGCTCATGTGAAACTACACTCATGAGTCAGTGACTGAATCCGGACAGTAACCAGCATTTATTTACAGTCTGATTTTGTGAAATCACAGTTGAATTGCAGCCATATGTTAACTACAAACACCAGAGTTCTGCAAAAAAAAACAAAAGCAAAAGTCAAAACAAAAAACAGGAAAGCATCATTTAGAATCAATGGGCGAGTGTCCTGTAATAAAGAATACTATATATTTTATCATATCTTTTGAAAGGTGTAGGCTACACATCCTTTACTTCGGTAAAATTTAGAATAAATTTCTGTACATACATGCATGTTTTTATTTTCCTAAAGAGCCAGTTTAGCACTTTCCCCAGCTCACCAACTCATCCTCTCCTCCCCCCCTCCAGGGTGTGACTTAATTGGTCTGGGAAGCAGCCTGAGTCCTGGGATTTTTAAAACTTCCCCCAAGTGTTTGCCATGTGCAGCCAATGTTGGAAATCGCTGGCTTTAGAGGAAAAGATCAACGTGCAAGGAGCAGAATCCCCTTAAGATTTTGTTCTCTTTGATCAGAAAGCCCACTAAAATCAGACCAGGGAGGCGCTGGGAAGGGAGCAGGGGGCGGGGGACGTGCTGAGGATGAGGGAGGGCGGGAGGTTCCTCCGGGAACTGGACACACATCAGTGGGCTGACTTTTTTCCAACTTCCCAGAACAAAAATTTCCTGGAGCGGAGTTCTCACAGCCTCCCAGACAGGCCACTGTTTCCATAAGTTACTCCCATGTCCCTTCTTTTCTCCGGCCTCCCTCAGAAGTGTTACCCAGCGCTCACATTCCAGCCCCTGTTCTCTCAGACCTTCCCCAGCTATGCCAGACTCAGTCACTTCCCCCTCCGGAGCCCATTACCCCCTGTACCCCTTGCTACCAAAACATCGTGCCCAGTGGTTTCCAGGCCGACCCAGTAGCCAGGTGTGGCCAGAGTCACACAGTTGTAGCTAATGAGGCCTAGTGAGCAAAGTCCAATGAGGTTTGGGACAGAGCTTGTGCTTTCCTGATAGGAATGTTAGGCACAGTGGGTACACACCCCTCCCCACTTCTTCCACAGCCATCCTTCCCGGGGGCACAAGGCAGCCAGCCGCCGGCAAAGGACAGAAGGGGAGAGGCCCTCACTGAGCCACAGCACCCGCCCCTGACTTCTTGCTTTTGAATGTCTTGTTCTGTGAGAGAAGTAATTCCCTAGTGGATAATCTGTGGTTGCAGCCAGATGAAATGCCAGGCCCGCAATCTCATAGCCACTGGCCCTCCTATAACTCTATATTCCTGCAGATTTGTTCTGCCCCGCCCATACTAGCAATCTCCACAGCGTAAAAGACTCCTGTCCCAAATATTCAATTACAGATCAGTTGTTTGAAATTTGTACCCACTTCCCTATAAGCTTGGACTTTCTTAGGAAGTCTGTAGTAGTATGTTTACTCCTGGAAAAATCGAGGTGATTAGTAACTACATTAAGGCAGAGTTGGGCTTAGGTAGCTTCCTGAAGAAGTGAGGTCTCTAACAGTGATTTCTAAATCACTGTTAGAAAGCATATAGTGAGGAATAGGCCCCAAGGATTTGGGTTTTGCCCACAACTTTCTCGTGAGGCAGGAGAATCGTGTATGAGGAGAGCAGGAACTCAGTGGGTGCATGTGCTTGGGTCAGAATGTCAGGGGCACAGAGCACAGGAAGGCCACGTCTCGGACAAGGAAGAGAAAGGAGCTGCTGAGTTCTGCTCCCCCCCCCCCCCCCACACCCCCCCCCCGCACCTCCCCCCCCCCCCCCCCCCCGCCGAGCTCCACAGACCACACTAGCAGTAACTATTGCACACAAGGTTGCATTCTGGTTTTGTATCCCATTAACAGGTATCATATCGTAATTGTTCTTAACAGGACCACAGAAATGAGAGATGGGAATGCTGGATAGAATGATGGAATGCGGTTCTTTCACCGTGGATCACTGTAATAAGCCTGCTCGGTCATTACTTCCAAACTCCGCTGCAACTTTGCCAGGGAGGCAGACCAAAATGAGGAGATAAACAAAATGGGCTTCCCGGCTAAATGTGACGCCTAAGTTTCAAGATTCTTTGCTGAAGTTTTAAACTGATTGTCAATTAGTCAATGAGCTATGGCAGGCAGTGCATTTCTGGGTAATTAGTGTGTGTCTTAGGGGGCTTATTTGGCATGAGGCTGAGGGCAAAGTAATTTGTATCTCCCAGGAAGTGCAATAATTGCCTCAAGCTGAACTGCTTGGAAAGTGTATTAATTCTATTAGGAAGCATTTATGGCATTGTGTATGGCATCCTGTATATTCATGACCTGTACTCATTATCCCGTGAGTGTGGCACCCCGGTGACCAGGGGGAGGGTGGGGTTGTTTGTGCAGGTGGAGAACTCTCTCATTGTCAGAAACGATGCATGTTGGGTCCTGAAATTCATCTTAGTAGGAGACCCCTGGATCTTAGAAGGGTGAAAGTTCAAAGGTCACAGCTAAGTTCATTGGCTTAAAAGTTGCTTTTCAGGGAGCCAACGGCCTCTTCAGAGCTTGTGTTGCGGCCCGGGGAGAACCCCTGTGAGAGCCAAGGCTCACGGGGATTAGGAGAACCCCTGTGTAAGAGGAGGGGTTCAGGGATTGATCCTGGTACCTGCGGACACGGCCTTCCTCGGCCCCGCTCAGGTTGTCCACGGCACAGCCACGGCCATCATCCTTCACTGACCGCCCAGTCAGCATACTGGTTATCTATTGTTGTGCAACAAATTCTCCCAAAACTTAGCAGCCTAAACCGCACACATTTATGATCGCACCGTTTCTGTGGGTCGGAAAGCAAGTGTGGCTCAGCTGGGGCTCCTCCTGCCTCACAACCTCGCGCAGGGCTGCAGTCCAGGCATCACAGGAATCTGTGGTTTCCCTGGAACGCCCATCGGGGGAAGGCCCGGCTCCTGCACTTGGTTTCCTGAGGGCAAGGACCGAGGGCCCAAGTTCCTGGATGGATGCTGACTGGAGGCCGCCCCCAGTTCCTGGCTGCATGGGTCTCTCCAGTATGGAAACTTGCTTCATCCGTGTGTGAGCCAAGAATGCAATAGCGTCTGCCAGCAAGGCAAAGGGCCCAGTCTTTTGTAACTTAATTGCGGACGTGACATCCCGTCACCTTCACCATATGTATTCTATCGATTCAAATCAAGCCACAGAGTTCAGATGACACTGCAGAGGAGGGAATGACTCAGGAGCCTGTTAACCGGGAGGTGGGATGATTGGGGCCACAGGAAAGCCGGCCTCCATTGCCAGCCTGTATCCCCGTGTCCTCTTAGTCTATCGGGCTCTAGGGGCTGAAAGGGAAAACAGGCGAGACCTGATCTAGGCTGGTGACTAGGGGCAGCTCCTCTGCTCAGTGACAGTTCACTGGAAAACTCAATAATGAAGAAAAGTTAGGTAGGTGCAGAGTCAGGGAAGAACATGACATGTTGCAGGAACTCAGCTAAGACCTGAGTGCACGAGGGGGAAAGGCAGGCCAGGATGAGGTTGGAGAGGCAGGAAGGGGTGGGATCCTGCCAGGTCTGAGGCAGGGTGAGAAGTTTGAATTTTATTCTGAGTGCACGTGGAAAGCCACTGGAGGGTTTTAAGCACAGAATGACATGATCCAATCTGCATGTTTAAAGAGCATCCTGGCTGCTACTCAGGGAATGAATTGGAAGCAGGGAGAGTATTTGGGAGATTCTGCTAACAAGAGATGTGGTGACCTGGGTCAGGGAGGTGGCAGGGAGACGAAGAGAAATGGGCGCATTCAGAATTGAAAATTGACATCCTCAGAGAGAATATGTGCACATCACATCACCAGGTCTCTTCACTCCCTCTCCTCTTTATCCATTACTTAAGGGAAACACAGAGAAGGTGGAAGAAAGGATCATGTGACCGTGATGGCAAGGAGAGGGGGACAGGATGACAGTTGAGGATGACAGGAAGAGGGCCAAGACCGGGATGGAGAGTAGCATTGGGAGGACGTGGCCCCAACTAGGCCCTCCCTGTATTAGCCGCAGCACACAGCTTCATTCCTGTGCTCCTGTTTCCTCTTCATAAAAATACCTGCCCTTCAGGGTTACTGAAAGGATTAAATTAACTAACAACCTCACACATGTCCTGATAACACCTGCGTGGTGCATTTGCTCACTTTGTCGGATAGCTACTCCATGGTCACCGCTCCCTGACAGCCAAGCTGAAATAGCACATTCCCCACCTCCATCCTCCTGTAACCCCTGGTCCAGCTTCCGTTTGCTCGCTAGCACCTCCCACCACCTGCTTGGCTTTGTTCATCGTACATTCTCAGGCCCAGAAGGTGTATGTAGCAGGTGCTCACTATACCTGATGAGTGCTGCAGTGTGTTTGCCAGTGTTTCTAGGCGCATCTCGGACAGTGCAGAGAAACCTGCTTAGAATCTAATAACAGTAACAGCCACTCAAACACTGAATTGTGCAGAGGAAGCTGGGAAGTTTTGGGCAGACAGGAAGAGCAGGGCCCATCTCATCTACTCCTCGCTCTCCTCCAGGAGGAGCAAGAGCAAGGCTGCAACCTTGTCTCATTTGACTGGCTTCGCAGAAACATCATCAATTTATGCCTAGAAAGATGTATGATTATATCTCAGGCAGCATCTTGAAAATGTCTTATCTCAGGAAAGCGTGCAGCTCCTGTCTCCTTTGCCATTTGTGTCCACTCAGCACTGTCACTCAAACTCCACTCAATGGATGCAATCTGGTAGTGGTGGCTACTTCCCAGGGATGTACACCTTCTGCTCAGGGCAGTGGGCTCTGATACAATGTGCTTCTGGAAGCTTCCACCCACAGTTGCTCTTCTTCCTCAGTCCCTCGGTCATTGGTTCTCAGAGGGGTGTAGAAGCTTGAGGGACATTTATGGTTGTGTCAATAACTGGGAAACCCCCTCAGGGGCAGAGATGTAGACATTCTGCAACATCTGAGGCACATGGTCACAACAAAGAACTGTCCAATGTCCCACAGGACTATGGAGTCCCTCCAGGTATGGGTGCAGTGGAAAATTCTACTTACAGTTTTCTGAGACTGGAGCCTACCTATGTTTTATGTATAAACACAAAATACTTCCTGTACAGTTTCAATGTGCACTGAACTATCCAATAAGAAAACTGAAAATTGTGGAAAGACTGACTTTGTTTTTTGCCAAAATGTTTCCCAGAGTTGGTCGCCGTTTCCAAAAATCATATCGTGGTATTTGAATCATCCATAGGACACACCTGTATAAATCCGCCTAGGCAATTGCACATTTACAATGGCTTTATATAGAGATTTTATTGCAGAATCATTATGTATGTATATCTTATTTCAAAATACCACTCTAGAGAAAATGTCAATACGCAGTTAAGTGTTGTTTTACTTGTCTTAAATCCAAATACATTTGTTATAAGGCAGGAAAGCATCTGAGTTCTTCCTTCTGAGCCCTAGTTCCTTGCTACTCAAGGGTGGTCCACAGACCAGCAGCATCTGTATCCACTAGCATTCTTGTTAGAAGAAGCATCTTGGGCCCCACTTTGGATCTATTGAATCTGGATCTACATTTTAATAAAACTTCCAGATGTTTCTCAAACATAAAAGTTTGATTAGGTCAATCAGAGCATGAAAAAAAAAAAATACTGTTCCTTTATTATAAACTAGAGGCCCAGTGCACAAAATTCTGGCACCGGTAGGGTCCCTACGGGCTGCCGGCTGAGGACTCTCTCCCTTCCTCCAGCCATCTACCACCACATGGCCTCCCTCCCTTCCCCAGGCTGGCCCTGCCCCCTAGTCAAACTCCCAGATGACCTCCCAGTTGAGGGGGCAATATGCATACTACACTTTTATTATATAGGATGACTTTTATTTTATTCCCTTTTTTTATTACATTAGTACCTTATATTAATTTTTTAATTGTATGTAAAAGATAGGTTATGCTATCAATGAATTTCACCTCAAGAAAGTATAAAATGGGAGTGATCAGATAAGTTTTAATGAAAAGGGCTGTGTGTCTAATAGAGTTGAAAAGGCTGCTCCAAGGTCCTAAGAATTCAATAATTGGGTATCACAGACTTTGGAGGACCTAAATGAGAGTAAGGTGTCAGAGTCAAATTTCTCTGAACTTGGCCATTTATAAGGCGAATGAATCCTATATCTATATTTCCAGCTACCTGTCTTAATGTCAGAGCCCACTAGGTGTATAGCTCTGCTTTCCACATGTACATTCGCCAGATCACAGAGTTAAGTGTCCTGCTGTCTGCTACAGGGTCAGGCCTCACTCATCTATTCTACAAATGTTTTTTTGATCCTCTTCTTTGTGCTACGCAATGTCACAGGCCTGTGAGTAATAGAATGACAAAGCCCACCTTTGTGGAGCTTGTCCGGCAGGAGAGCTCAGAAGCCCACATGTAACTATACAAAGAGTTAGAAAGTGATAAGCTAACTGAGAGAGGTACAGATAGTTCTACACATGATGGGAGTGTGAGAGGGACAGAGATCACTTCGACATAGAAAAAAATATTGAGAGGTCATCAAAAGTCAGCTGAGTCTCTATACTGCCCAGGAATCCATGGTTTCTCTCAGTAGCTCTCTGTTCCCTGATACAGCTATTTTAACTTTCTATACTCCCCTCAAATCTGTGTGGCTATCTCTGCCTCATCCCCAAACCTCATCAGTTGATCTTCCTTTTTATCAAAGTAAAATAAATGACCAAATTACCATCATTTCTCTCTGCATTCTAACTGGTCCACATCTCCTTCTCTCCTGCTGTTACTGGGGCAGGGCCACTTAGCATCTCATCCCCGCTTTCCCCCATTCTCAGACATTTCCACTACATCGATCATTCCCACCATCTCCAGTACACTCAATATCTCCCTCTCTACTGGAACCTTCACATTAATCTTTAAGCATGTTTTAGTGTCTCTCAGTACTATTTTTCAACCATCTACTGGCCTCTCCTCTCCTTTGCAACCAAACTTCTTTAAAAACAAAATGTGCCTGAACTCTTTCTCCCCACCTTCTCAACTCCTACTTACTCTTTGAGTTACTGCAACCAGCTTCTGACCTCACCACCCACAGATGCCCTTCTTACCAGTATCACCAACTATCTGCTTGTTTACTAACACCAAACTCTTCTCTGTCTTTATCGCATTTGCACTTTCAGTAGCGTTTGACACAGCCTCTTCCTTTGATTTTCATGACACACTCCACTGTGTTCATATCCCCCACCTCCCAGGCCTCTCCTTCTCAGCCTTTGCTATGGGTTTCTCATCTCTTAAATGCTGGTGTTCTTTAGAGTTCAGCTCAAGGTCTTCTTTACTCTCAATAAACACTTTCTCTGGGGTAGGCCAATTATATCCTTTAATGACTCCTAAATCTATATCTCCAACCCAGTTCTCCATCTTGAACACACTTCTAGATAACTCCATCTGGATGTCCCAAAGGTATCTCAAACTCAGACTAACTTAGTTCACTATCTCCCGCCCTGCCTGGCACCATGTTCTACCCATTTATCAAGGTTTGACACTGTGACATTATTCTTGACTTCCTACATTCCCACACCAAATGAGTCAGCCTCAAATCCATGCTCTATCCTGCAGCCAGAGTCATCTAACATGTGAACGTGATTACTTCACTATTCTGCTGAAATCACACTCATGGCTCCCTCATTGTCCTCAGGATCAAGTTCAGCCACAGTGAAATTCTCTTATTGCTTCACTTCCTTCTCATTCATCTTCCAGACTTAGACTAGTTTGATCTTTTTAAAATATAAACTTAGTTCAATATAAGTTTAAAATATAAGCTTACCCTCATTTTCACAGCTTCCAGAAGCTCTAATGGACCCTTTCTCCCCCTTTACCAATAGGCCAAACCAATAACATTTTAATGTAAAAGGTTCTGTTAGCAAAAAAACATGGAGTATTCAAAATAGCTGGGATATTACTCAGAATGGCTGGAGCACAAAGTGTCCTTCAGGGAGGGGCTAAAGATGAGCTGGAGAGATGCACTGAAACAAATCAGGAAGGGCCTTTTATGCCAAAATAAATGTAACCTCATCCCAGGAGCAAGGGGGAGATTTCTTGCAAAGTTCTGAGCAGGTGAAGGGTTTTGTATAGCAGTCACTTGTTGCCCCAGGTCACCTCGCCTCAGTTGTGCTGGGCAGTTTGGTGCCCATAGGCTCTCCCTGAGAGAGTCAAGCCTTCAGCGTCACCTTCCTCTAGCTTATGCCAGCCCTTACATTCTCACCTCCTGCCTCGGGGACTTCTCAACAACAAAACTGATACAAGATGTGGAAATGTGCAGCATGCAGCGCCACCACCCTAACTACCAACAGCTTCAGGGCAAAAAGAGGGAGGAGGCCAGGCTGACTCCATTGTTTAAGCCTGGTGCCTGAGAAGATGAAGGTGTGGTCTACAGAAACAGAGAGGGGAATAGAGGCTGTTTGACATCAGAGAGCCAATGAGCCAAAGAAACAGGAGGCAGAGAACCAAGTCTTAGGAGAGAAGTGGAAGTAACTCCAGAAGTTTGGCCTGCAGGATAGAAAACTGGGGGAGGACATAAGGTATTTATGTTTATATATAAATACCTGTCAGGAAATAGAGTCTAAAAAAGGGAGTCATCTAGAAAAGGAAGGATTATAAGTAAAGGGCAGAAAATCTCAAGGAGACGGACTGTGGCTCCGTCCATGAAAATACCCTCTAATCCCTGCATTGACTTCCAGGGAAGGAACAGCTTCTCCCTGGGATGGCTCACACAGGATGTCCAGGAGGCTGTAGATCAAATTCCTAATTCCAATGGCAGGTTGAACTAAGTGAGGTTAGATCCAGCTCTGAGAGTCTAGAGTTCTGTGTTCCAACCCCCATCTCCCTCCCTCTCATTCCCACCATTCACAACTTCACATTGGTGATGCAGCCTCACCATGGGTTTGCCTTAGAAATAACTCTGAGCAAGACTTGGGAACAGGTAAGGTTTGCCCTAGGTGCTCTCCAGCACTACCTCCTGGGGACCTTATCTCGCCCACTGCTGCCTCCTCACCAGGTTAGGTGCCACCTGGTACAACTGGTTAGGTAGGCCTTCTAGCACCCTCTCAACCACACCGTGCACATGTCCACCTATTCATGTAGGGCCTTCCTAGACCCAGCTGTACCTGCCCCTTTTTATTCCGAGCACCAACTGCCTTCTCCAGGTAATGGCGAGGTACTGGCTCTCCTTCAAAACTCTCCACTGTGCAGAGGAGGGATGAAATTCAGAAATCTTCATGAATCTCTTTAGACAGTGGTTTCAGGAAAGAGCAAAGACAGTCTCTACCTTTTGAGTTAGACAGTTTTGCCCAGCAGTATGTCCTTTTTCTGTCCTTCTCTGGCCAAGGAGGGGAGCTTTGATAAACATATTTGTTCAGGAGAGCGGTCCACACAGAAATCTATCTGTATTAAGCATCAAAATGACAAATTCCTGATCCAATCTTCTGGGAGAAACACTTCTTTGAACAAGTTCTAAACAAAGGGAAATTATGTCAGGTCCCTCATTCAATAAATATTTTGTTAAACACAATGAACAGGGCAGTGAACTAGACACTAATGGTGCCACAAGAAATAAAAAATAAATGTCAAATGTATCCCTTGCCTTTAGAATTGCACTGGGAAGAAGAGATCACCCCCATTGGAAGCCAAGTGACAACACTGGCATATGGCTCTGTGAGGGCCATATGGCTGCACAAGCCCAGTGGCCCTGAAACCCTAGCGTGCCTGAGACTCCTCGGGGAGTGGAGTCAGTAAAAACGCAGCTCCCTGGCTCTACCCGAGAGAATAAATTCACGGTCTCTAGTGAGTCTGAGAAATCTGCATTTTAAATAAGCTTTTAAATAATTCTGATGCGGGTGGTCCACGGGCCATCTTTGACAAACGCTGGTCGAGCCAACAGCTTTCTGTAGATGACCAGAGGAAAGAAGCCCAGTGGGCAGGCCCAGGAAGGGAGCTATTTTTGTTTAAACCTTAAGAAGCTAATGAGGAATCCTTTTCATCCCTCCTCTGCACAGTGGAGAGTTTTGAAGGAGAGCCAGTACCTCGCCATTACCTGGAGAAGGCAGTTGGCGCTCAGAATAAAAAGGGGCAGGTACAGCCGAGTCTAGAGTTGAGGAAACCAGCTTATCTGCATCTGAGTCCAGGGCAGTCTGAGGCTGGAAGGTGGTGTTATGACTCACTGAAGCTTTCACATCTATTGTTTTTCTTTTCCTGGGTGGCTTTGCCAAGGACCTCATAGATATCATTATTTTCAGATTACTGTTATTACACACATTCTTCTTGGGGGAAAAAAAATACCACTTAGCTTTTATCTCCATAGAGGGAGGACCAAGTTTCAGTTGTTTTCTTATCTGGATATGTAAAACAATCAGAGCACTGCCCTGCTGGGGTGCTTCTCTCATCTTCGGGTATGGTGGAGAGCCAGAGACTAAAGGGAGAGGGAACTGTGGGGAAGCCATCCAGTCTCCTCGGCCCTTCCCTGAAAGCCATTCACTCCTTCAAAACATTTTTGGAGCACCTACTATGCTCCAAGCACTATTCTAAGACTGGAGCTTCCATTCCAGATGAGGGAGACATCCTGCCTAATAAAAAAGGAATAAGCAAATTGACAGTCACACCATCACAAATATGGTGGTGCCCATAGCCACAAGATGGCAGCGCCCAGTCCCCTCAGCCCCACCGGAGTCCTCAGTCTTTTTTTTTTTTTTTTTTTTTTTTTTTTTTTTTTTAATTTTATTGATTTTTTACAGAGAGGAAGGGAGAGAGATAGAAAGTTAGAAACATCAATGAGAGAGAAACATTGATCAGCTGCCTCCTGCTCACATCCTACTGGGGATGTGCCTGCAACCTAGGTACATGCCCTTGACCGGAATCAAACCTGGGACCTTTCAGTTCACAGGCTGAAGCTCTATCCACTGAGCCAAACCGGTTTCGGCAGTCCCCAGTCTTTTCAACCCCGCCGGGGGAGGGGTAGTGGCAGGTCCAGCCGCTCCTTGTGTATGCCAGTGGGGGAAGGGGGCGTGTGGCAGGTGCGTGGTGTGGTAGGACCCGCCCTCAGACCCCCAGATGCCCAGGGCTGGCCCAAAGCGCAGGCAAGCCTTGGATGATGCTGCCCAAACACCAAGGGCCGCCCGAGGCTCAGGTAATCAGGGCTGGCCGAGGCTTGCACTACTGACAATGGCAGCAGCAGAGATGTGATAGGGGTGTCACCTTCCCCTGATCGCCGGTCGCCTCCTGCCCCTGAGAGCTCCCAGGCTGTAAGAGGGGGCAGGCCGGGCTGAGGAACCTCCCCCGCTCCAGTGCATGAATTTTCATGCACTGGGCCTCTAGTCATTAATAAATGAACAAATATGTAAACTGAAAAATAACAGCAGTGATAAATGCTCTGAGGATTTTCATTAGCCAGTGATGTCATAGAGATTAGACTGGGAGGCCAGGGGGGAGGTGAGGGCAGCAGCAGTAGGGAGACTGGGAAAAAGAGATTCTAGGTACCCTAGGGAGGGAATGGGCCACTCTACAAACAGAAAGAAGGTAGATGTGGCTCCAGCCAGAACCAGCCCAGAGTGTAAAAGCAATACAGAGAATGTGGAGAGGACCCAGACGTTCAGTCTCAGATGGGAAGAAATAGAAGCTAAAGCCTTGGATGGACTCGACAGTTTCCCTCAGGATCCAGTAGACAGAGTGGTACCCAGGCCTCTGTGGACACAGTAGAAAGTGGGCTCAAACTGCATTATGAGCAAATAGAGTCTGATAAGAAAAAAATGAGTTTCTGCTATTGGGCAGGCATGGGTGATGGATGAGTAACACTATCCAGAAACTGACGGGCTGTGAAGCCCGCTGCTACCTCCAGTTCATTCCGGCCTGGAATTTCTGGCCCAGTAAGAGCACTCAGGGCTTTCTCCCACGGTGGGTTTCAAAGCAGAAGCCAACGAGAGATATCAGCAAGCTTGCTGAAAGCCATGAAACGATGGGACTTTTATATGCTGTGACTGCACCAGGCTTTGCATCTCTTTACTTGTACGTATGTATCAAGCCTGTTGAGGATCACTAGTGGATGGCCCTTCCACGAGGGAATTGCAAACCAAATCCAAAGAATTTTTATGGAAAATGATATTTCATTCAATCCATACGCTTGTTCTGCTGAGTCAGGATCTGACTTTTAAAGGGGGCCTTTCATAGAGGTCAAGGTGAGACTCCTGCCTGCTTTGCTTTGGCCTGGCCCCTGGACTTCTCTCAGGCCAGCTGTAATAGGGTGGCCAGATAAACACAGGATGCCTAGTTAAACTTAAAGTTCAGAAAAAGAAAAAAATCATTTCAGTAAAAGTATGTCCTAAGCAATGTTTGGGATATATACATATACAAAAAGTTATTCGTTGTTTTTTCTGAAATTCAAATGAATTAAGTGTCCTTTATCTTCATTTGCTAAATCTGTCAAAGTGTATGAGCATCAAGCTTCCCTTGGTTCTTACCCAGCATTGAGCCCACCACGGGGCTTCTCACAGTGGAATTTGCCTCTACCCTACATACCGGGAGCATATGGGATCTAGTCTCCTGACCCCCTCTCACCCCATTCACTAGCCCTCTGACTGGGAACATATCCCCCACAGCCCTCTGGGGGAACTGGCTGGCCTGACACAGGAATGATTAGACAAGGCCAAACTCAAAGACTACCCTCTGTTTTATGGCAAAAGGGCCCCAGAGTATGGCCCCTGCTTAGTTAGCCTGACTGCACTTCCTAATGTCCATCCTAAAGACTGTGTGTGTCTCAGTTTTCTTGAAGGACCAATCTACTCAAAACATTTCCAAGCCTCCACTCCTGAGCTGTAACTTTAAATCCTAAGAAAAGGATTCCCTACGTACGAATGCTCGGAGGGGCCCCTAAATACAGATCCAAGGGGCCCCTGCACCTGGATGCTCAGGGGTGTCCCGCAGGCCAGGCCTTCTAACCCAGGCCCTCACCCTGTGCTCAGCAGTTCCCTGGGTGCAGATGCTCTTGCATATTCACCAGACTCACTCTTCTCTTGCTCAGAACTTTGGTAACCTGAGGCCAGGCCTGGGCCGCATGCCCTGGGTACCAGTGGCTATGTGCTCGGGTATTACTGCTGGGATTTGCTCTGGCCTCTGAAATACGCCGCCTCAGCTGGCCTGACTCCCCAGACCTTGCCAGCCTGCTCTGCCCAGAGAGACCAGACAGTAAGACCATTCAACCATCACTTGGGTCCATGAGTTCTATACTCTGGTCACATAGTATACAAACAATGCTTCCCCCTTACCCCCAAAAAGTCCCTTAGACAAGTTCAACCCCCTTGCACTAGCAGTTCGGAGCATTCTGACCAAGTGTGTTTGCCTGACCGCCCCTGGCCTTCACTGCCCAGACATCATGATCTGGAAGCCCAGCAGGACTCTCGGTGTTGGCATCGTGGAGAATCCCTCCTTAAAATCCCCATCCAGCTCTCAGGGCAAAGCTGTCCCACCCCATTGTCTGTCCTCCTGTGTCCATCCCTCCTCTCACCGTTTTGGGATCTGGTCTCCGGACCCTCTCTTGCCACGCTCACTAGCCATGTCTGCATTAGGGGTCCTGGGGCCACCGCACTACGGTTTGACAGAGGAACGATGCAAGGTCTTTTGCCACCTGATCATCTTGAAAAAGCTCAAACCTACCAAGTGTAGGCCCTGAAACCTATTCCGAACAGACAGTGTCTCTCCCTGCCTTGTTTCTCTCGCAGAATCCTCCTTGGCAGCGGCAGACAGACTGACGTTTCAAACCCCCGTGTTATTTCTCAGGCCCAGGCTGCAGTTCCCGACTCTTCTGCCCTTGCATATTATTTCATTGTTTATCTTGACACACAGGTTTGTCCCAGAGGGGAATGCTTAAAAAGCGGTGTGGCCTCCCTGGATACCAAGAAATGCAGCTTTCTCTTCTCGGCCCCCTCCTGCCAGACTCCTCCCAATTATTCTGCAGGCTTCTCTGCCCGGAGGGCAGTTTGCAGCTCCAGGGCACTGGAATTGGCTTTTAAAAAATTCCTTCCTCCCTGTGCCCCATGTGAGGGGGCATTGTGTGCTCTCTAAATAATAAGACTGGCTTTGTGTGACCCAACTGGACAGGGCCCTGGAGAGATTTTTCAGTTGCAGAGAGAACAGTCAGCTGTGCCCCAGGAAACCAAGAAGTTTCCAGACCAAAAAGAAAAGTCCATGACAGCAAGATTTCCCCCCCCCCCCCACCCTTTGAATTGTATTGTGAACTAATTCCTCTCTCCCTCTAGGGTTTAGGGTAATTGGGTAAAAGTGGAGCAGAAGAATCCAAATTTGTATTTTGGATCCAACAAATAATAGCTTTTAATCAGATGCCCCCACCCACCCCCAACCCCCACCATGGCTAACAAAATAACAAACAGCCAACAAATCATTTCGGAGCTCTTATAAGGCATTGCCATCGATTGAGGTAATTATTTATTACATGTATTGATTTCCTATTTGAG